TCAGTGGGGACTGTCAACCAGAGTGCCTTCACATGGCCCCTCTATGTAGTTTGGGCTTCCTCACAGTATGGTGGCCTTGGGATAGTTGAACTTTTCACCCAGAGGCTCAGGACTCCAAAGGCAAGTGTTCCATTAACAAAGGCAGAAGCTGATGGCCTGAGATGACTTAGGCTTGGAAGTCATATAGCATCACTTCTCGGTACTCAATTAATTGAAGCAGCCTTTTGGCAGAATAAACCTGCCAATATTCAACGAAAAGAGAGAGACAGACCCTACAGCTCAATGGGAAGACCATCAAAGAATTTGTGGCCATGTTTTAAGACTATCACACATACCCTGCTGGTTGCAGTTGCGTGTGCTAGAACCCGAGACAGGTCCTGGTTCAGGAGGAGGGCTCAGGGGAGGTTTGCCAAGTCCCAGGCTCTTGGCCCAATGTTGCCACGCACTCATGCTGTGTGGCCTTAGGCGAGTCTTTTCCACCTTCTTGACCTCCATTTCCCCATGTGACATTCAGAGAATAAAATGCTGCAAGATCAACCTCTGATATGGTCAGGCTTTTTGTCCCCACCCAAGTCTCATCTTGAATTGTAATTTCCAGGTGTTGAGGGAGAGAGCTGCTGATGGTGACTGGATCATGAGGGTGGTTCCCCCATGCTGTTCTGGTGATAGGGAGTGAGTTCTCATGAGCTCTGATGGTTTTATAAGGGGCTCTTCCCCCTTCACTTCGTACATACTCTCTCTCACCTGCCACCATGTAAGACATGCCTTTTCCCCTTCCACCATGACTGTAAGTTTCCTGAGGCCTCCCCAGCCATGCGGAACTATGAGTCAATTAAACCTCTTTTCTTTATAAATTACCCAGTCTCGGGTATTCCTTTATAGCAGTGTGAAAATTGACAAATGTAACTTCTTTCCTTGTTGCTGGAGACCCTCCCCATCATGCACATACATAGCTCACCAGGGAGACAAAGATCACAATGGGGTTGGGGGTGGGCACCAACAGAATCCTCCCAACCGGTTGGGAAAATACGAGTGCAAAGGAGATTGTGTCCACTGTCCATCAGGAACCCTGAGTGGGTGAAACTCTGTTCTATCATGGCACTCAAGGTCAATCAGAGCCTTCCTGGGTCTCTACAGTATGAGGGTCCAGCTAGTTTTCCAATGCTTCCAATAGAAGGTGCTGGGTAGGGCCTGCTGGGCTGAGAGGGCCTCAGGTGCAGAGTCAGGAGCACACAGAGTGTGTGGGCTAATTACTACAGAAAAAAAAAGATGTGGATATAGCAGACACCAACAAAATGGGGTGGCCATGCCCAAGAGGCTAGTGAAGACAGATACTGATGACCATGGCTCAGCTCTCCCCCTCCTCTAGCTCCCCTCCTATGGCACAGAAGCCACCAGAACTAAGTAGATGCCCTGACAAGGGAAGTTGAGGCAATTTGGAATAGATTGAATTTAAGTCTGACATGACTGACTTCAGCTGACATTGATTATAAATAAATGGTTTTGGTAGTTGGACAGAATGGGGAGTCTCTAGGAGAAACAGAGAAAAATGAAGCTGCATTTTTAGAGACCCCAAGATTTGTAGCTAATTCATTTCTTCTTTCTGCTTAGCAAGGGACTGGCTGAGATCTCAGGCCTTTCCAGCTGTGACATCCACTGTGGCTCTGATCCCCAGGCTTTATGACTCTGCTGCTGCTACCACTGCAACCCAGGGGACTGCCAGAGTGTGTGCAGGTCACGTCCCAGTGGGGTTCTGCCTGACCCAGCACTGAAAAATGGTTTACCCCTGAGTCATTCAGACAATTGATATTGTTGAGAAACCACGGCGTGTAGGCCCTAGGCTGGGCATCGTGCCTGCTTCTGGGGACAGTCAATTGAGTAAGACACTGGCCTCATCTTCAACGTGTTTACAATCCTGTGGCAACAAACAATTAGAAGCCACTGGTTCTAGGACCTTAATTAGGAATTTCTCCTGATTACTGCTTTTGTTAAGAATTGACATGAACACATCTCCAGCTAATCAGTCAACAAATATTTACTGAGCACCTACTATGTGCCAGGCTCTGTTTTAGGTATTTGGGGTGCATCAGTGAACAAATAAACAATAGAAATATAAATAAATGAGCCTTCAAGGCCTGCTTTTATCTCTCTGCCCATCTCAGTCCTGGGAAAATAAATGTGGGTGCTTCAGGCTAAAACACCAAATGATCACCTTTTTTTTGAGACAGGGTCTCCTGTTGTCCAGGCTGAAGTGCAGTGGTGCAAACACAGCTCACTGCATCCTCAACTTCCTGGACTCAAGCAATCCTTGCACCTCAGCTTCCCGTGTAGATGGGGTCACAGGCGTGTGCCACCACACCAGGCTGATTTTTAAATTTTTTGTTAAGAAAAGGTCTCACCATGTTGCCCATGCTGGTCTCAAACTCCTGGGCTCAAGTGATTTTTCCACCTCAGCCTCCCAAAGCACTGAGATTAGAGGCGTAAGCCACCGCAACAGCCCATGATCAACTTAATTCTAAGGCATTTCCTACCCCCACCCTCATTCCCTGAACTCCCATCCTCCTTTGATCCTCAGTCAAGGCCAACTTCAAAAACTCCTTGGTAATCAGCTGGACGCTTGCAGGTCCCAGACCTTCAGCAGCTTGTGGGAATGTCCCATGAGGAACATTTTTTTTTTGTCAAAAGAATGCCAGGAGTTTAATTACTGTGTGGCCCATGGCGGTGATTTCCATTTATCAGCCAGAACCCAGACAGATCCTAGGAAGGCCCGTTGTGTGAGGCTGTGGCCGCCGTGGCCTGCTCTCGCCAGCAAAGGATAACCCTGGGGCCTGCGCCCTGGGCAGGGGCAGCAGGAATGCTTTGAATGCTTCCCCTGCATGTGGCCTTGGGTTTTACCACTGGCTACAGCGGGTGGTTTAATTAATAAATGTCCACTGCTTGTCATTTATCATTAGCAAAACAGGAGGGGTTGGATGGGGGGCAGCCAAGAGGGCAGGGAAGCTTTCTCCGAACAAGGTGCACCGATAAATTAAAGCTTTACCCATCAGTCTCACAGGCTGACTGCTGTTGTACAGCCCCACGTTGCTTTCCTCTGGTTCAGAGGCCAGTCTCATCTTTCTGAAGGGCTTTGCAGCAGCTGTAGGGGGTTTCATCTATGATTGTGTCTCCCTTGTCAAATCTCAGCAAAGGACTATGTTGTGTGGTATGGAGGAGAGAGAGCAGCATGTGCCCAGGGGACTGGTTCCCATCAGCGCTGCAAACTGAAACTCTATGGTGGATCCAGCCTGAGGCTGGATTTTTGTTTCACTTCAATGGCATTTGACAAATTGGAAATTTTTACATAAAAATTCAAGTTTCTGGCTTCTATTGAAAAAGCAAAGTGAGGCAAAACCAAACCCTCTTTTTCAGTATGGCAACAAGCAGCTGATGGCCGGGCAGGGCAGCCATGTGAGGTTGTGTGAGTTGTGCACTGCACAAAAGCACCTAGCAGAAGGGGCAAATGGAGGCTGAATCTAGGCCAGGCTGTCTTTCCAGCAGAAGCCCTGTAGGCAGGACGAGGGCCTTCCACTTTCCCACCACTGCCAACAATCCCTGCTACTTTACTCACCTACTCTATTCATGTATGTACCAATCTGAGCTTGGTAAGTACTTGGTGTTTTCATTCGTAGTATATATTCAGGGCACTATTTTGTCTTCTCTATGTGAGGAATGCCTCTTCAACCTTCAAGGCTCAGCTCAACTCATAGAAGCTCCCTGGTGGTACCCTCCTCTGTATTTTCTCAACAGCAAACCAGACTGCTATTATAACACTCAGCACACCCTTGTGCTCTAATTTGTTAACAGATCCTGTTTCCTGCAGACTTTGAGCCCCTTGAAGATAGATTGTACCATTTCTACTTTTCCTCTGCCTGGTACATAATGGGCACTAAATCAGTAGGGCTGAATGAATGGGTTTATGGTCAAGTGTGCCCCAGGCAAGGGAGGCCTCCAAAAGGCTGCCTAAAATCCCAAGCCAGGAAGGGTTAATGAAAGATTTCAACTTTGGGGTTTTGAAAGACCCTAGACTCCTAGGTTTCTTCTCTTGGACACTCTATGGGGCACTTAAAATCCTGAGCCATGCTGATTTTGGGATTTCCTGTGACCAGAAGGCTGAATGTTTAAGACTTTTCACATTCGCTTGCTCTGTTGTAAGGAGCTAGTAAGAGCTCAGCCTGGCCTCTGCCAAAACCACTCTTAAAGGAACAGCAGACACAGTGCAGCCAACAGAGGCTGCAGGGAAGAAGGATGGCTGTGACTCGTGCAGAGCAATTCTGGGATCCTGGAACCTGAAATACATCCCCTCCCCAGAAATTTAGCCTGAAATTTCTTTAACCAAGATCAAAAGGTGAACCTTCCTTCTAATAATCAGAGAGGACTGAATGTGTTCTGCAAAGAAGAGACACACTGGTCTAAATTATTTCCAACTAACGTGTAAATAACTGATACAGGTTTTTTTTGTTGTTGTTTTGTTTTTGTTGATTTTTCTTTTTTTCCCCTAAATGCTAGTTTGGTGCGAGGGTAAAAAGAGTTATAAAAGAGCAACACCAAGGTGGGTGGATCAAGAGGTCAGGAGTTCGATACCAGCCTGGCCAACATGGTGAAACCCCATCTCTACTAAAAATACAAAAAAATTAGCTGGGCGTGGTGGCGCGCGCCTGTAATCCCAGCTACTCGGAGGCTGAGGCAGGAGAATCGCTTGAACCCGGGAGGCGGAGGTTGCAGTGAGCCGAAATCGCGCCATTGCACTCCAGCCTGGGCGACAGTGCGAGACTCCGTCTTAAAAATAAATAAATAAATAAATAAATAAAAAACAATAAGCCCTCTCGCCTAGTCTCTCCTTTGTCCTCCAGACCCTCGTGGCCGCCGGCGTTCGTGGTTCGCGCCCCTGCTTCCTCCGCCCCTGCTGACTCGCTGCTTCCTCCTGGGCCCCATCGCCCCGAAACCCGGGACTGTGCTTCCCAGCAGGCGCCGCGGCTAATGAAGGGCTGAGGATTTGGCGGCGGCACCCCGAGAGTCCGGGCGAGGGGGCTTTGTGCGCTGCGACGGCTGCCAGCACGGAGGCGGAGGCCCAGGGGCTGTGCACAGGTCGCCGCGGAGAGGATGCGATTTCCCAGTCGAGCGTCGAGAACCCTGCTGCCCAGGCCGGGCTGCCAGACATAGGCTCCTCTCTGGCGCAGCGGGGGCGCGGCGACCCCCGTCTCTCGGCCTCCCCTTCCCGCCCCACCTCCCGAGCCTTCCTCCTGCCGCAGCATGCCTGGCCTGACCCGGCTGTGGCCGTCCTCGATCTCCGTGTCCCTCCTGTGATTGGGGCGTTAGAACGGGACAAACTGAAGGCCTGATGAGAGGAAGGGAAAGTTAAGAATGCTGGAGCAGAACAATGGATTTCTCTTTCTCTTTCATGCAAGGGATCACGGGAAACACAGTTCAACGACCACCTCAACTCATTGACTCCACCAGCATCCATCAGGAGGATGCCTTTGATAACAACAGTGACATTGCTGAAAATGGTGGCCAGACACCATATGAAGCTACCTTGCAGCAAAGCTTTCAGTACTTATCTACAACACATCTTCCTTCACTCACAAATGGCTACCATCAATCAGCATGTATGAAACTCAAACCAAATACCAGTCGTATAATCGATATCCTAATGGGTCAGCCAATGGCTTTGGTGCAGTTACAAACTTTTAGCCCCACTGACTATTATCATTCAGAAATTCTAAACACTAGACCACATGAAATTCTAGAAAAACCTTCCCCTCCACAGCCATCACTCCCCTCCTTCAGTACCACAAACTGTGATTCCGAAGAAGACTGGCTCACCTGAAGTTAAACTAAAAATAACCAGAACTATCCAGAATGGCAGGGAATTGTTCAAATCTTCCCTTTGTGGAGACCTTTTAAATGAAGTACAGGCAAGTGAGCACACGAGAAGTCAAAGCATGAAAGCAGAAAAGAGAAAAAAAACCAAAAAGCATGACTCATCAAGATCTGAAGAGTGCAAGTCACACAAAATCCCCAAATTAGAACCAGAGGAACAAAATAGACCAAATGAGAGGGTTGACACCATATCAGAAAAACCAAGGGAAGATCCAGTACTAAAAGAGGAAGCCCCAGTTCAGCCAATACTATCTTCTGTTCCAACAACAGAAGTGTCTACTGGTGTTAAATTTCAGGTTGGTGATCTTGTGTGGTCCAAGGTGAGAACCTATCCGTGGTGACCTTGTATGGATTCAAGTGATCCCCAGCTTGAGGTTCATTTCAAAATTAACACAAGAGGTGCCCGAGAATATCATGTCCAGTGTTTTAGCAAACAGCCAGAGAGGGCGTGGGTTCATGAAAAATGGGTACAGGAGTATAAAGATCATAAGCAGTATGAAGAATTACTGGCTGAGGCAACCAAACGAGCCAGCAATCACTCTGAGAAACAAAAGATTCGGAAACCCTGACCTCAGAGAGAACATGCTCAATGGGATTTTGGCTTTGCCCATGCAGAGAAAGCATTGAAAATGACTTGAGAAGAAAGAATAGAACAGCATACTTTTATCTATATTGATAAACAACCTGAAGAGGGTTTATCCCAAGCAAAAAAGAATGTTGGGGCCGGGTGCAGTGGCTCACGCTGGTAGTCCCAGCACTTTGGGAGGCCAAGGAGGGTGGATCACAATGTCAGGAGATCATAACTAACACAGTGAAACCCCGTCTCTACTAAAAAAAAAATGCAAAAAAAGCCAGACCTAGTGGCATGCGCCTATAGTCCCAGCTACTCGGGAGGCTGAGGCAGGAGAATGGCATGAACCCAGGAGGCAGAGCTTACGGTGAGCGGAGATCGCACCACTGCACTCCAGCTTGGGCAACAGAGTGAGACTCCCTCTCAAAAAAAAAAAAAAAAAAAAAAAAAAAAAAATGTTGTCTCCAAAGCCGAAGTTAAAAAAAAAACCTGATGACCGAGATCTGTGCTTTGTACTCAGCCAGAATAGACCAATGCAGGGGAGATGGCCTCCTCACTCTCAAGTACTGACATTCGAAGACACAGCCAGAGGCAGCACACAAGTGTAGAGGAGGAAGAGCCACCTCCTGTTAAAATAGCCTGGAAAACTGTGGCAGCAAGGAAATCCTACCAGCTTCCATTACAATGCACAAAGGGAGTCTGGATTTGCAGAAGTGTAACATGTCTCCAGCTGTGAAAATTGAACAAGTGTTTGCTCTTCAGAATGCTACAGAGGATGGGAAATTAATCAACTTGTTTATTCAACAAAGGGAATTGGTAACAAAACAGAAATAAGTGTCAGGGGGCAAGACAGGCTTATAATTTCTAGACCAAACCAGAGAAATGAAAAGCCAGTGCAGAATATATCATCTCTTGAAGCAACATCTGGTTCTACAGGCTCAGCAGAAAAGAAGCAACAGAGAAGATCAATTAGAACTCGTTCTGAATCAGAGAAGTCTACTGAGGTTGTGTCAAAGAAGATAAGAAAGGAGCAGGTTGAAACAGTTCCTCGGGCTGCAGTGAAGACCAGATTACAGGAAGGGTGGGCAGACTGGGGAGTGCAGGGCTCTGTCAGATCCAGTGACAGCTCTGTCTTCACAGCGGTTGAGGAAACTGTAGACTGACATTCCTGTACAATTTCATCCCAGAAACTCCAGACTTGTAGTCTCCCTGCAAGATTTCTTTGTCTGTTGGCAGCTTGATAAACAGTTTCTTTGTTTTCGATTTTGATTTTGCCAATCATCATTATTGGCATTTTCCTGCCTGGTTTCTTCTTCAAGACACTGAACAATTGCTTTAACATTCAAATGATTTTTTTTTTTTTTCAGTTTGAGCTGGATGGGTACAGCTTAAATCATGGGTCCAGCCTAAAAACCACCATTTAACTTACACTCATCAATTTCAACATGGACTGTTTTTTGTTTTTATTTATTTATTTATTTTTAAGTTTTTTTTTTTTTTTT